ATGTATATGCGGATAACACAGTCAAAAATTTATAAAAACAATGCGAGAAAAAAAACAACAAACATAAAAAAAATATTACGTGGAAATGTTATGTTTTAAAAAAGGGTCTATTTTGAATATTCGATCTCGTTGATTTCACCGAAGCGATTGGAACGAGGTTGAATTGGAGAACAGGTGGTACAGAGAGTTGAATTGAATTTTGGTTGGGTTGAATTCAAGCGAGTTCAATCATAATGGTGCTTTTGTCCCATTCAATCATATCGGATTATGGATTTATTCGTCGGATCAAATTGTGCGTGGAATCAACATATCTTGAACAGAGACATTGTGCTATTCAATTCAAATGTAAGCGCAAACTTATTTTGTTGATTTATAGAATTTTCAAATTTCATGCCAAAAGTCGGTCCCACGCGAAAATTCAATTTTCAAACAATATTGCAAAAAATAGACACAATGTATTTTACTTTGCATGTAGGCATACCCATTCATTTTGTAAGCATTCACTTTGCACACAAATCAAACAATTATTGATTAATATAAATGTAAACTACAGTAAGAAACTTGAGGTCGGCTCCCTTTTGAAATGTCATTTAATCTAAAACTGATGTTCATATCACGATGAGCATTTAAAATTACGTCTTATGAGACCAACAATGTACCTTGGGCCATATCTTGACAACATAAGTCGTTTTACACCATTATTTTGGGCTATATTCTGGTATCAAACCTCTTAGTCAAATTGTAACGTGGCCCAAGAAATTCGATAAAGTGTCAAATTTTCATGGGATATACACGCATTTTCAATAACATATATTCGCCTGAAGAATGTTTGGTTACATCAAATGTTTATTTCAAGCTAACTATATCTTACACGTCAGACATACAACAATAGAAAAGGTACCATTTGATTAAAGCAGTTGTCTCATCATTCAATTTGGATTCAAAATTTGAATTGGACATGAAAACAAAGAAAAATTCTCAAAAAAATGTAATTTTCTCATTCACATCAATTCCATGCAAGGCTGCAAAAATCTCCATGATTGGGTTCGTGAAAATAGGTCCGAAATGATGGCTTTCATTGAAATATGAGGGATTTACAAGAAGAGAAAACCTTGCAAATGCTTAGTAAATTAATATGTATCCGATTTTGATCACACTTTGACACTAGGACCAAGATTTGAAATGGAATTTTCCTTTTGTCATGGGATCAAATCAGATGTAATCAAGCCCATTGTTTGGACTAATTATTATTTTGCGCATAAAAAGTTGTTAACAATTTTGTTTAAGATGTATATATTTTTTTCTGTTTTATTGGTGCAATACATTGCAAATATTCTTTTATATTTGGATCAACATTGAAGTACAATATGCATTGTATTTCGTGTGTCAATTTTTTGTGCATTTGTTCGTGCCCCGGGGGAAATGATTTGAGGCAGCGTAACAGTGAGACGATAAAAAAAAATTCAAAAGCATTTTATTTCCTCTAAATTCATAGTGGCAGCTGGTGAGTAAATGTATAAATCGGTAAATCGATCTTGAATCGCTATGTTTTTGAACATCATTGTTATTCTTGGAACCACCACAGTTTTCGCTGCAATGATATTCCGCAACATTGGTATTATCTTAAGATATTCTATTTTATTTTTTGCTAGTTTTTACATTGAGTTTTCGTTATTGAATCGAAAAATATTTTCTTTCATTTCCTTTACCCCGGGCAAAATGTAAAATGAAATAAATGACAACTTTATTTTATGTCGAAACGTATATTGTGTGCATGGTTGTAGACAAACAACAGCGCCATCGTAAGCATAGCAAATACAAGATTCCGTTTGTGCCATGTTGATTAAAATTAACTTTTTTATGAAAGTTAAATTTTGTTTTGATATGCTTAAAAAATAAAAAAAATTAAATACAATTATTGAGAAAACTACAAAAATGGTTATATATATCAAATGTGGCGCTGTAGTTCCTTTGAGTATTCGTGTACACTTTATCTTATGAAAAACAATCGCACGGTGTGTTGGTACATTTCATGTGCAAAGCCATTCCATTCGACGGTGTATCACAAATCCAATTTGTTGGCACAGGTGATTCACCCGAGGTGAAGCTTTCGTTGTATTTTATTTACTTCATTTGTATTGGTCTGCAACGTGAGATCAACAATTCGTCTAGATGTGGTGCTGTGTGCTTTGTCAACTTGTGACGTCAAAACTTCGATAAGTGAAATAATAAAGAAAATTTCATTTAGTCAATAAATCAATGCCAAATTAAAGTCAAAGCGCTTTTCGATGTGCTGAAAATGGCTTTTGTGCATTCAAATCATCACAAGCATGAACATTTCATTTGGTCTGTGTCGGATATATTTCGATTTGGTGGTGAAAAACTTTAATTAATTCATTCAATGCATATAAAATGCCCACCACGTGAAATGTTTATCTATCTCGTGTTCAAACCCACACATCTATATATAATATGCGCTGAAGTGTGTATCTCATGCTGAGATAAAATACCATGCGCGTTAGGTAAAACAGTGTTGGCAAGCGATTGGCACCAGATTACGGCACCCCCAACACACAATTGAGTTCAGCCAAAAACAGATTTTGCCATCAATTTAATTACAAAAATACGCACACCATTTCGACACGAAAAACATACGATATTGTAAAAGTTTTCAGGGTAAACATGTACTTCAATTTGCAAATGAATGTTAAAAAGTAAGTTTTTGCTATTGAATTGAATGAACACACACAGAGAAAAATAAAAAAAATAAAACGTGCAACTGTGACTGAAATTAATTGTTGTATAATTTTCCACAGCAATGAGAAAATGTGAATAACAGGAACTTTTCAGTGCAGCAAAGTCAAACAACTTCAAACGATCAACAATTCAACTACATTCGTGCTGTGATGAGCATAAAAGAACGAGGAGATGGGGTAAAGAAGTGAACAAGATTTTGTCGAAAGCTTTACAAATTTAACGAAGACCTGAAAGAAATGCTCATATTATCCTACATTTTGCAACCCATTTTATTCCATTGAAGTTGTGTGTGTGTGTTTTTTTTTTTTCGTAAGCTCCAGTTCAAACCGAGCAATAATTAGCATCTTCTTATTTTTCTGGAATCTGTTTCGAAATTCTCACAACTTTCAATGAGTTGTTCTACATCTTGTCGATGCGACAATGGGCAAACTTTGTGCTATTTTTGCTTCTACTTGACTTGTCCAATATCAAAATAATTTTCGCAAAATATTTTCAATAGTTGAAAAGTTGGTATTGAAAAGAATCGTTTTTCGAGCGCTACAAAATGGAAAATATTCAAACGACGACAAAGTGAAGAATTTTATTTACGATCATTTTTCAATTCCAACAAAAATCGGCAAAGCATTCCATAGCTAACTCAATAATTTAAAAGTGCATGCTTTTGAACATGCAATTCGTCAATGCAAAAGTCATCATGGAAAGTTTTTTTTGAGGAAAGTTTTGAAGTGAGGGTAATTTTACATGCATTTTTTTGTATATTTTCAGAAATTACTTCTATCGCGCGCATGGTACACAATTCCTAAAGCAATTATTCACATTTGAAAGTTGAACAACCAGCACTTAGCATATGCGCTTGCATAATTATTATTATTATCAACGTGAAACTGGCGGAAATTTAGCGAGATAACAACACACAGAAAAAGCCCATAAACGGCTAATTCACACAATGTTCAAAGACGAAACCTTCTGCTGACATGATTTGTAATTGTAATTTTCGTCCTAAATTCACGTGTAGGTATAACATGTGAAGAGGTGATAACATGAATTACAAATGTACCTCTAGCGTATAATGTACGCGAAAATAATGGTTTCACGTAAAAAGCTGGCAAATTGGGCCATGCACTATTTGAAGTCGATCATTATATAGTTTAATTCTAACATTTTGACATTTAAATGGTGAAATCATATGTTTAGATTCCAGACTTTGGTATAGCATTTATTTATAGCGTGTAGCAATTCAAATTCGGATTTTTGCTTTTCATTATACAATCAATTTTGATTTTTGCCTAAAATGTTTGGAGTGTATGTGTTTTTTTTCTGCATTATTAATAATTTAATATTAACATGTATTACCTTGTAAGCGTTTTTTCGAAACAAGAGATATCGATCCGATTGGAATATGAAAACACTGTTTGAACACAAATTACACTCGATCCCTTCGTTAAAACCGCGTTATTATTCCGAAAAAGGATTGTTTTTTTAGTTTGAAAAAAAGTTTTTGGAAAATTTAAGCTCATTCAGTGTTGAATTGAAAGAAAACAATCGTTCTTATTCACACATATTCCATCAAATATGTATAACAGAAATAATGCCACTCACAAAATTTCAAGAGCAATCAAAAAATGCATGACTTCTTTCTATTCGAAGTAATCGTGTGCCTTAATCCAAACTAAATATGACCAAGTACATACATACATGCAGGTTTAAATTGTTTGCATGAGTCAAGTTGAAAAAGCGCAATCAGTGTTTCTCTCTCTCTCTCTCCCTCTCTATCTTTCTATGTGAATTTTTTTCTGTATATTTTGAGCCTCTTTTTAGAATGTTTTGTTATTGATGCTTAACGGTCTTATTTCTCTGCAATGCTCTTTGCTACCACTTACAATAAGCATAAAAGCACTCACTCAACGAAAAACGACTACAAAAATGTAAATGAACTGCTTCGCATGGAAAGAAAAAGACACACACTATACCGACATCATTGAATGTGTGCGCGCTTATTTTGCGAACAATTTACTCACTCACAACCATATTTTTTTTATATTTTGTTTTACGGAAAACAGAAATTAAATTGCATAGCCATCGAATATTGCAGCGCAAAAATTCATTCAAAGTGCAGTCTATGTACATGAACACGCACGCAACTGACTTCAATTGTGTTGCAAATTTCCGCGTATATTCGTTGATTTGTTCTCTTTCAGTCTCCTCCCCCTTTATCTCAAATACATGCAAAAATTTGCACTTACATTTGATGCATCCGCTGTCTGAATGTTGATTTACGCTTTCTCTCTCTCCTCTCTCTCTGCGCTTTTTTATTCGTTCTGATGTCTACTTCTGTTTTTATTTTAATTCATTCGCAGAGCTTACGAGAATTACACACAAAAAAAAAACACGAAGAGAGAAAAATGGTCTCTGTTCTGAATAATTTCCCCTGGTCCAGATCGGTTTTTATAGTCTCGAGTACCCTCGCTTACACGCCGATGCAACGAAGCAAAAGTATTTTGAATACAAACGCAGCTGAATCAAGATACTCGAATACAAAAAAATACAGATTCGATGAAAAATAAAGATGTAACACACAATCTTGTCTCTATTTTTCTCTTCAAATTCTCTCGTGTGTTTTGTTTCTTCTCATCATTCTTTATGCACACTCCAGATTTTAAGAAGACTAGAAATTGTATGTTTTTTAATGATACGTTATTGTTTGGTTCTTTATTCTGTGTCTGTAAACGTTCACATATACCGACCGATAATAAATACGTTCGTCAAATAAGACATCTACAAAAATGTACGAGCATTCGATGGTGTATACTCAAAATAAAAGATCTATATAATACCAAACACAAAAATGAACATTTTTTGTTTCGCAAATTTTACACGTTTTGTTTCATTCAAATTGTTTTCATTGCACACATTTTTCAACAGTTGCTGACATTATTTTAATACAAAATCCTTCATTTTATTACAGAGTTTGAGTTTTGAGATAACACTTATCACCGTTCGAAATGAATAAATCTTTGTTATGTTATAGATATATATATATATATATTTTTTATTTGCAACGTTTTAAATGACCTTCAGTAAAACGAGCAATTCTTTGCATTTTTCATCAATTTTCCACTCCTTTTTCTCCTCAATGCAATCTTTTCTTTGTGTCATTCGCAATCAGCGTATTCGAACTGCAAAGGTGTTAAAATAACTTTCACCATTCTACATCTAGTTAATGGTCACCAGTTTCACGTTTTATTTGTACTATTCCATTTCGTTCAAATCTTGTAACAAATGGCCAAAAAAAATGTACCAATAAAAAAATATTGAATAACAACCACTTCAATTTATATTCACCTTCATTGTCTTGTGATAAAAGCAACACTTTCAATCGTAATAATTTAATAAATTTGCACAAAACTTTAGCACTCTATATTGTAATTTATTACTGAAGCAAGCAGCAAGAACTGAGAATTTTTGCTTCCCTTCAGCTGAATGTTCGAAACACAACTGACAAATCCCACGTAGTAAACATGAAGCGCTTACTTTGACATTCGCATGGCGCATAGCGTGCATTTATACACAAACAAGCACACAACTACCCCCCCAACAACAACAAGAACAAAAAAGAGAGAAATGAAATCAATCGTATTACAACATTGATGCGGTTGTTGCGGCACACTCTGCCAATAACCATGCGGACCAACATTCCCAAGCACATTTTACATGTATGCGAACGGATGAGTAAGTGTATGGATGCGTCTCATTGTCGTCGGTCGTATCAACCGTTGCTGTAATGTGTATAATAACAATATTGGAGCATTGGTAAATGGAGCTTCATGCGAAACGTATGCTGCTAATACACTCAAACAAATGGAAAATACGTGCGCTTCTCAAACGAATCCTTACCATACCCAATATGCTAGCACAGACGATGTAGAATATTCACGAAATATGCGTACATTCAGAGATGTTGAACTCTGCTGATGAAATTTAAAATTAAGCTTTTTTTTACGTAGCCAAAACGAAAAAAAGAAAAACTTTTCAGACTCATACCTGATCGGGTTTTTCGATGCAGGGTCCGTTTCGAATAGTCCGATTGTCTGTGAGAGTTGGAAAAGAGAGTGTAACCGATTTTATAGTGAACAAATGGATAAACATTTTCAACATTATTTATCCGATTTAGAATGAGAAAATTGCTTTTGAATCCAGAATTTGGAAAAACCATTCAGGTTTTCGGAACGTTAAACGAGTCAAACGAATTGGATACACACGAATCTACGAATTTTGTATGAAATTGCAGGTGGTGAAGGAGAAACAAGGACGTCTCTGATTGTCTCGAATAAATAAAGTTAAAATAAAAATGATTACGATGCGTGTGCGTTTTGAAACAAAAACCTTTCGAAACCGAAAATGTACAAATGCAATGGAGAAATACCGTGATAATTTCGCAGAGCGTGCGTTTAATTCAACGATTCACTGTGCTAGCTCCAGGAGTCAGCAAATAGATTTTTCGCATATGTATCGTATTGCAAACGCACGTGTCACCTTTTATAAAAATCCATGGAAAATGCACCAAGAGCAACCGAAAAATATTGAATAACCGAATAGACAAGCGAACGTTTATACGCAAAGCGAACAATTCACCATCTCTGGATCTCGTATACACTTTCGACATTTTCAATTCCAGTGCAGAAAATGTTGGAAGCGAGTTAACCATCTAAGCACTATCTGTAAAGATATAATGAATAATACGGTTCGTTTCGTGCACAGAACAACGTATAATTGCATAATGCAATCAAGTACGTGATGCAGTGCTTACCCGGCACACTACATTCCGCCTTTTTTTCCTCTCTTCTGTACTTCCCTTGTATGCGCTTTACTGTCCATATTATTGTGGAATTGTACGTTTGACGTTGTACGCTACATGCACACAGGGCTATGTAATCAACGTTTGTGCAAGCGATTTCAATAAATTTGATGTTAAATTCGTGCACATATAATTTATTTTTGGCGCTATGGCCAAAGCTTCAAAAGAAGTGATGTTCATAAGTCATGCAAAATTACTAATAGAATACTGCCACAACACTCTCACTTCATTTTAAAATGTATAAATACACGGAATCGCATACAACAGGCCAACCAAGATGTATGAGTGCATTATGATTTCTCTCGTCCAAACAATAATATAATTATTTTAAAATATGAATGTTTTCTACATTATTATCATTTCAATTTTGTGAAATTGTTCCTTTGGAAAAATAACCACAGATGAAAAACGACATTTTTTTTTATTTAAAAACATAAAAAAATATGTAGTCAAACTCAACGCCATTTCCATTATTTTTAATTTACAAAAATAAACGGGAAACCAAAGCAAATATTATAAATAACATATATTGGAAACATCAACATCAAAGACTTAAACGTTTTTTTTGTAATCGAAACATAGCGGCGATAAAATTAATTGTTAGTATAAACGATGGTTAATATTCAATGATGTATTTTTTTTTTAATAAAGCGAGCGATATCCAATCCAGAAAATATCAAGTGGAAAAATAAGTTTAGTTCAGTATAGTGTGAGGTGCGATTTCTAGAATAGGGTAAACCCTCCTTTCTACCCCTACCCTTCTCACATTACTGGTTCAGTTCAACAGTTCTTTATTGAATACACACTATAGGATGGAAAAGTTCGGTCCATAAATACCTTTTATTTCAACATATTAAGCAAGCATTACACGAGTCCATCGTATCAGAGTATTGTTTTCTAACATTTTAGCTCAAATACATTTATATTTTTATTACATGGTAAATGTAGAATGGAAAAAAATCCGGGTTGAAACTAGAAAGTACATCACCAAATGACCCTTGGATTCTACTCACGTGCCGATATGTCCCACGGGATACTTTCAAATTATTCGCGATCAGCAATATCCAGAAAAGATTAATTTTCACATATTTATGGCCATTTCGGTAGTGAAGAAAGATTGATCACGAAAAAAAGCCAACTGAAAATAGGTATGCATTTAAGGTATTATTTATTAGAAGATCCAATACTTCAGACGCAAAAACGGTGAATTCTAATTTTGCAAAGTTCTTATTTTGTTTATTAAATAAATTTTGTACGAATTATCTTATAGTGAAATCCATGTTGCCGGCATTTCGTGAATGAATCGATCGATGACTTTGAATCACAATGGGAATCGAATACATTGCAAATGTCTGATTTCAATTTAATATAATGGTTGAATGATGTCGGTTCCTTAATCACTGTTGGCGAAGAATAATGACTACTGATTTATTTTCTTAATAATTATAAAAATTTAATAGAATATCCGGTTACTTACCGAATTACGAACAATGAATGCTGTCAAATGGTGAAACGAAATGTGAAATGGGATACACTTTAAGCTATGCAACACATCACATGCTACAATGCCCATCAAAACAAATGGAAGAGGAAAAAAAAATTATTGATAGCATTAAATGAAATTCCTTTGGGTTTTTTTCTCTCTTGCTCGGTAAGTTGTCGATTGCTTTGGCCGAACAAAGGTGCCAGTTCTTTTGTGAACGAATTCGAGTATCCGATAGTTTGTGCTTGTTTGTGAATTGGCTAAGGGTTTCTTGTCGACCAGAGCATAAATTCACTTATTGGACATTGATAGCTATTCGCACACACGTGCCGACTACAATGGGGAAAAAATTATCATCGTCATCAATAGTGCAAAACCCATTTCAATTGATGGTCCTTTTTAAACTTTGACTCGGCTTTCAACAGCGCGCGCGCATTTTTCTTCGGCCGTACATAAAATTCGTTTACTATTTCACTTGGCTGTAATAATTTTCTGCTCGTAGTATTATCATCGAATTGCAAAGGTTCTATCGGAAAACAGCAAACAACTACTAAAAAAAACTTGCCTTGTATATACGATATACGAATACAAGAATGTATTGTTCTGAAATGATTTTGTTGTTGTTGTTGTCGGTATGGTGTGGAAGCTGGAGCCGAAATCGACCGTACTATTTCTCACACAAGTGAAAAATTGCTTTCGAATTTGAATCTAATATATGTGGTATTCAGATAAATAACTGGTCGCAATTCGCATGAAACACTCGTAACATTTATACACAACACAAAAATGTACAAAGCACATCTCGTTTCCTCCCTCGTTGCTTTCGTGCCATTAGATTGCGTTTGTGTAACCCCAATCACTGAGAAACAATAATAAATACATATGTCACTTTTCATTAAGTGAATTACGGTATTTGGTTTTTGCGTAAGATATTGAGAACGATAAATGATGGCCGAGCGCTATGCGAGACAACCAAAATGCAACATTTGGTTCTTTTTAACACACGCTCATACAACACTAATGTAGACATAATCGTGTTGTGGGTCTTGGTCCACATTTCTACATCTTTAAATCATCTAACATCTAACGCAATCATTTGCAAACACATACACACAGTGATCAAACTAGCACATACTAGGCCACAATATAAAACGAACCAAAGCAAGAAATTAGAATGAAAAGATGGGATTAGAGAACCACTCTCGCCACCAGTGGATACTTGCTCAATAATGAATATAAACAAGCAGTAATAATAAAGTGAAAATAAATGTGAACAGTATTCATGGGATAGAATGCTATAGAAACATCAATACACATTAATGATATTTAAATGTAATTGCAGTTGATTCGTCTTCAAATGTGACAAATGCGAAAGATGAATTTTCAATGGCAAACAAATTACAAACCTGTTGCATTTTTCATCATTATATTTTCCAGCATGTGATGGAAGATGTGTATATATGATACAAAAGTACACACATTTTGTTCAAATAATGAACCATAATTTTATGTCATCTAATTAACGTTTGAGCTTAGACGAATCGTATAAAAACCATTTTGAACTCAATCTTTGAGTGTTCAGCATGTAAAATTTGCGAAAATTATTATTAGACTCCTCACTAATAATATATATACCATATGTCCAAAAAATAACCGAACATTTCCCAAAAAATCAATTTTTTAGGAATTTTTATTATATTTAGAAAAATATTCCAAAAATATTTTTTTAACATTCCCT